GTAGGGAAATGAGGGGGAATTTTATATTGTTATGCTGATGCAAAGTAATTATAAAGTCAGCTTTAATGTAGTGAGTACCCTCTGGCTGCTTTTTCCTGCAGAATACAGCAAACAAGCCAGAAATACAGAAAAGTAAAGATTATTTAAAGCTGACAGTACCTCTGCAAATAGTTAGGGATATTAGGTGGTAAAACTTTCTTTGGATTTTCCCCTCCAACTCTCTGATATTGTAAATGTAACAAAAGTACAGGGCAGACTACTGCTGAGCTACTGCTTGAATATATAAGAAATGTACTCTATGTTTGTAGGTGTATTATAGAAAAGTAAATTTTCTCCACAGTAGCATCATAGATCAGGACATCTGGAGGTGAAATCCATTTTCAGATATAGAACACACTGAGGTCAGCTAAACGAATAATTAATGAAGAAATCTAGCTTGCCATTGAAAAATCAGTAAGATCAAATACTGGATTAGAAGCACTGCTCTCTGCATCATCCAATCACAGCATTTTAGCTATTTTTCATTGTTACCGTTAAATGGGAGCCCAGCAGCCCCATATCCATGGTTTTCCCTGTGGTGCTGTAGCTGAGTTGATCCATTAGGCTGAGCCTAATGGATCCATTAGGATCCATTCTGAGATGCACTGCTGGGAGCTGCCCAGTCAGTCAGCACTGTGAAAAGTGCTGTTGAACGTGCAAAGTTGTTTAATGTGGAGGTAAAAAGAGAATTTGTATCTGTATGTTGGCCTTGCATCCCAAACTCCATGTTATGGTAATTTTGTTACAAGGGTGATCTTTTGTTATGCATTTTTAAAAATGATTGGTTAATAACAGGGTATTATACTTGTCATCTAGGCTCTCTTTGCATTGTGTGAAGAAAGAGGAAGCTCAGACCTGATTGCCAAAAATAGGTGGAAAGTTTTGTCAGGTGTACTCATTCATCTCCCTCTTCACCTCCCCTAGTAACTATGCAGGGAGGCAAAAAAGGTCCCCATATGTGAGGTGTGTGCCACTCTTAGTGGCCTTCCAGCCCCAAATGCTTGCACTCGTGGCATGGGACTAGGGAGACCTTTTCCCACCCTGCTGTAGCCTCGCTCAGCACTTGGTCTGTCCCTTCTTTTTTTCTAAACTACCCAAATCCTGGGTTGTGCTTTACCCCTGCAACACCCTGACTGCTTCTCCAGCCCTGTGCTGTGTGGGGCCAGCTGTATGAGGCTGTATGGAGCAGGTGTGGGGAGAGCATAAGGTAAAATGTCAAAATATACTAGAAGAGAAACCTGAGCTAAATTAATGTTTAAAGTAGGAATACAGTTGTTTTTGCTAGTTTTCCTGTTCACTGGGTTTGGCTACAGTAGATTTGCTCTGATGCCTGCTTGATTTCAAACACATTATGAATACATGTTTAGAAATTGTTTCATAACATTTACTGAATGGCTTAGTTCTGTTATTCTGAAGGGGAGCACTGAGTTTTTATAGATCCCTGTGGTAGTGGAGGCCTTGGTCAGTCACTTGCTGTGTTTTTCAGGTACAATTTATAAAATTATGTAAGTACACCTTTCTTATCTCTTTTAGATTAATTTAGATTTAGCTGGAATTAATTCTTTAGACCTTTGAAGTACAGAGTTTTTGAGGATAGGAAAGTAAATGGGATGTTTTTGACAATCAACCTCTAGTCTTCATATAAAATTTGAGAAGCATGTTAATCCGCGACCATCTTTATTGTAATACCCTTCAAATGTTAGACATCTTTGAGTGTTTAGCTTATCTATTCTACTACTCATAGATCTTCAGGAAATATTCCTAACCAGTGCATAATAACTTTGCACTTGACTGGTATCTGACTGGGTATTTGCTGTGGCACAGTTATGCATAAGGTAAAATTAAAAACTGTTTTCAAAATGGCTTGACTAGAAACTTGTGGAAACAAAACAGCTTTTAATTGTTAACTGGTGATCACAGAAGAAATCTTGGAGATTAAATGATCCATTAGTCAGTCAGAGAAACATCAACAAAAAACACATTCCAGGTAAAAGACAAGCCAAGAAGCAGCAGCAAGGCTGCTGTAGTAGAGTATGAATGGGTTTGTTCACTCAGGTAGACGAGGTTCAACTCCTTGCATAGTCTGTGCAAAAACACTTAATGTTTTCAGAATTCCACCTCTTGATGTAATTTTTTTTTTTAATAGATGCATTTTAATTTTGTAAAGAGTGACTGTAGGTCTCCTTTTATATGATAAAGTGTACGCTTTACTTTAGCAGAACCTCATATTAAAGGTAAAATACTTTCTTAGTCTGCATCACCACTCCTATTAAAAATAAGCTGTATAGCAATCTGATTTTTTTAATCAACATTTTATTGTAGGCCTTAAGGACAACTTACCACACACATTTGTAAATAAAGCAAAACAAATGAAACAGTTAAATCTCTAGAAAAGCTATTATTTAATTTGAAAATCTATTTATATTTGAGATGTTGTACATTTTTAGAAACTTATTTTAGAATATATAAACGTGTAGGCTAGGAGTTTAATAAGGGAGAAGATGTTTTTGAACTAAATTCCTGTAGTTCAATAAGGTTTTGAAAAGCTCTAAAAGCTTGAAATAAATGAATTATCTCTGTCAATTCTAGTGTAAAAACCATGTAGGGTCCACTCCAGTTTTTAAGGATTTTGAGTTGTAACTGGTTGATGATTTTTTTGAGGGGTCCTTAAATAGACATAATTCTTGCTTTAGTTGATATTTTATTTCTGTGGTATAGAACTCTATTTAATTGTTGCTTTTATTTTTCAGAAGTATCGCAGTGTGTCCGTGGGGGCTGAGGAATATATTTATGAACAAACAAGGTATGGTGTAAGCTTTCAAATGTGTTGACTGGCATCACATAGGATTGTAGTGAGGGGAGGCAGCCTGTGTCCACCCTGGGGCACCGGCAGGCCTCCCTTGACGCTGCCCAGGAGCACTCTCCCCGTTTCCTTCTCCTTATACGTTGTCTTTCAAATCTGACCAGTTTATGTCTTCATCTGTTATCTTCCCCAGCATTATTTTAAGTTAGTAGCTCCTCTGAAGCCCCCAGAGATACGCAACATTTGTGTGTTAAGAGAGGTTTCCCAGGAAGCATAGCTTTGACAGATGTGTCATGGAAAGACGTCCCCACCTTTCAGGATGACAGGATGCACAAGTCACGTGTCCAGGATGGTTGAACTGGCTCCGCTAACCTTATGGAATTCCCATGGTTGTTTTTTCCCTTCTGTTTTTTCGAGTTACTCCTAGTAGGTTTTCTGGGAAACACTGTGTCTTTTTACACTGCTTGTTGTATTACATCATGTTTACCTGTAACATAATATAAATGAAATATCTATTACAACCATGAAAAACTCCTAAGAATTCAAAAAAGCTTTTAAAAGTTTCAAAAACTGATGTTTGAAAATAAGTTTTCTCCCTGCTAAGCACAGAAAAATGCACACATAGAGTGGGAAAACACTGCAAAGTGACTTAACTGATAAAGACTGTGATCAGTAAAATTTCTAAGCTGATGCTTCATTTCAAGCTTGTGAATAGTTCTGTTTATATCTGAGACCTCACTCCCACTTTAGAAAAAGAAACATGCCTACATGTTTTTCCTGGAGTAGGCATATAACTGCTTCTGTAGTGGAGGTTCCTTACAGCTTGATCTTTTTTCTGGGGTATATTAAAACAATCATTAACTACAGTGAGCTCAAATTGAGTCATTATATAGGTAGTACATATGAAATAGATATTTAGCACAGACTGCTCATGTACTACACTGGATATTTATAAATTTGAATCCTGAAGCATTGGCATTGTTAACAATTCTCAGACATTAAGTGTTTTCATGCTATGGCCCAAGTTCATGTTGGAATAAGACCTCCAAAAGCACATTAAGAAAAATGAGATGCATCTTGCCTGGAAGTTACCAGGAAGCAATAGGTGCTCAGAAATGAACGCTTCAGGTTGAAAAAAAGAAGTGATGAATATGAAACTAATTGGAAGCCTGATAGAAGATCCCTTAACAGCTACACAGGGCTTTAGTTCAGACTCCTGATGAGATTCAGAATAGTATTGTAATTATTTGAGTGGGCTCAGTAAGCTTTAAAGTGAATAGTAGTCCTGCTATAGGGCATGCTTTGATTGCCAGCTGGGAAGAAAAAGAAAAATTCCCAAATGGTACCACAGAGAGTCTGCAAAACAGGCCAGGTGCTGTGTGTCTGGGATTTACAATTTTTTGACATCTTTCTGAAACAGAGAATGCCAGGAAACAGAAGACCAGACTGTGGCAGACTGTAGGCAGCTCTGTGAAAACACTCTGTGCCTGTCTTTGGTTCATCCTAAGCCCTTCTCAGCACCCATCCTCATTAGGCTTTCTGTCTGTCTGGTGGCACGTTTTGAGGTGCATCTCCTAGGACACTCAGCATGCTTTGGTATGTGTTGTGCAGCAGTCTTGCAGCAAGTCACCTGCAGTCCGTTTTTGTGACACTAACTCAGGGGAAGCACCCACACTGTAATGAATGGCCAATCCACAGGACAAGCAGGTGCAGCAGGGTTGGCACTGGGTCCACAGCACCAGCAGTTCTGCATTTCCAGTCCACTCAGGGCCATTCCCATTGCCAGTGTCAACAGAGCTTCTGTTCCCCTTGTGCACAAGACAGAGGGACTGTGGCAGTGCTCCCCACGGTGGGTGGAAGTGGAGGGGACTGCAGTCCCCTTTGTGCCGCCTTACAGCTGTGCTGCCTTATAGCTCTGTGCAAGAGCCTTCCTGTTTGCAGTAATTGCATTGTTGGGAAGTGCTGGTACTGGGTTCTTTGGGTCAGATAGATATAGGCTAATGTTTGCTTTTTACCTTAATTTTGCTTTGATTTGTAAATTTTAAGCAACTGGAAAATGACTGAATTTCCATTTATAAGCTAGAGTAATCAGAAACACTTAAAAATTGTAGTGATAGTAAACAAAATAATTGATACTGAACTGTCTGAAACTTCTTATTTGGTTGGAAAGACAATGAATCAGGTTATTTTTTCTCTTCAAGATGGAGTTTAAATGTTATTAATGCATTTTAGTGTTGTTGGTTTTTTTGTTTGTTTGTTGTGGTTTTTTTTTTAAATTCCCATTGGTTAGTTAAAAATATTTTTCTCTTCCTCTTACTTCCGTATCACTATGTCATTGTTGAGGTGATCCACAGTATTTGCTTGAACTACAAAGTTAACACTGTTGTTATGGACCAACGTTTTTGTCCTTCTGGTTCTACCCCAGCACTGCTCAAATACTTTGTTGAATTAGGGACCTTTGTGAAAATGCTTCCCCTGCATCTCAGTTTTGTTAGGACATCCTGCAAGTGACTCCTTGCATTAAGCTTCCTGTGGTAGCCAAATGCAGTTTGAAGAAAAGATTTATTCTGCAAGGTTAACATTATTTTTTCATTTAAGAGAGTGTGAGGACTGGCAGGCATCATATTTATTGGATTATTGTTTAAGCCTGTTATTGGAGAAGGCAGCTGGAAGAGACTCTGTGGGAATTGTGTTCAGCTAACAGGTCACTACATTAATGGAGTTTAAACTTTTCGCAGTTTGAGAACAGCTTTAAAGGTGGAAAGTTCTCCTGTGAAGGAACATCTTTTCTAAAATCTGACTTCCAAGATGAGCGAACTCTTCCTGTATTTTTTTCTCTTTTTCTAAGGGAGGTTACTTGATTGCAGATACAACTAAATATAGGTACTTTGTTCTGTCTGACTGATTTTGAAAAGAAGGCTTGTAAAAACCTTGATTGCACATTGTCTTTAAGAAAATAAATGTACTGTCCCTTCTGGTTGTATTCCTCCCTTGTGCTGAAAGTAGCAGCTGGACTTCCCATTCTCCATGTCCATCTTTTGCAACAAGTTTGGGTTTTTTTTTGTTGTTGTTGTATTGTTTGTTCTTTTTTGATTGTTGGTTGTTTTTTTGTTTTGTTGGGGTTTTTTTAAATTTATCTTTCTGTGATACTTCTAAGTTGAAGTGTCTGTGGAGGTAGCTGATTTCCTGCAAATCATACTGGATGTCTTCTTGATATGTGACACACTCACTGTGAGGTACATAGTCTTGTACTTCATGATGATTCTTTTCAGAGAAAGTAAAGATGTAATCTTTGCTCCTAGAGACTTACAGTCCATAGTTTTACACTTGATTGCCAGGTCTGATGAACTTGAAACTAGAATTCCATTTTTAAATACCTGGGTGACCTTTTGCTGGAATTTTATTATTGGCTTCTTATGCCTTGCTTATACGATACAGGCAAAACATAAGAAAAGGGGACAAAGAGAAAAGGTGAAAGTGATATGGATTTTGTTGATGTTTCTCTCCCTGTCATTTCAGCAGCACTTTTCAGTATACACTAGAAGCTACCAAATCTCTGCGCCAAAAGCAAGGAGAGGGGCCCATGACCTACTTGAACAAAGGACAGTTCTACGCCATCACCCTGAGCGAGACGGGTGACAACAAATGTTTCCGGCATCCCATCAGCAAAGTCAGGGTATAGTCCAATTTCTTTCCTAGGTGGGAGTGGAGCTCTGCAGATAAATGTAGTTGTGGTTGGTTAGGTTTTAATAATTTTTTTAATTTATTTTTTTTTTTGGGAGCAGACAGAGCAAACTTCATCTTATGGCCAAAAAATGGGGGAGTAGTATTGATGGTCTAAAATATTTTGGGGTCCATTTTTTCAAAGTGTGATCTTATGGGTAAATTACATACATATCAGTCTCAGTTTATGTTTTGGCAGAATGGTAATTGCACAAATATTGCTCTTGACATTTAATCATTGCCATGATTAAAGAAAATATTTAATAACTCCTACATCTACTGTGTAAGACCATCTTCACTCACTCCTGCCCTTCAGCAGCTGGTTTCCAGTGCTTTTCAGATAAAATATAAAGAGCTGAAGCTATCCTTTATGATATATATATATATATATGATATAAAATATTTGAAATTTAAGTGTGAGCTTTCACTTGATATTCACTCAGAAGTATGACAAAATGAATGTTTTGCATCTTCAATTCCATGGGAAGAACTGGATCTTGAGTGTTCGGCAGCATCTGAAATGCCTCCTGAAATCAGGACTCCTGATTTCCCTGGTAGTGTTTTTGAGTAAGCAAATCCTAACCTAGTAACCTTGGAATGAACAATAAGCCTCAGAGTTGCTGCCCTGCAAGTTTCACCCTGAAGCTGGAAAAGCTGCATATGTATGAGGCTGCAAAAGTTCAAATAAATAAAAATGTTGTGACTTTAGTTGAAGGAACCGATGAAAGTCATTGTCAGCGGTGATGCAGACAACAATCTGTATATTTTAATCATACATTATGTTTAGAGACACTCTTCCTAAAAGAGAGGCAATGATTTGTAAACCTGAATAGCAGTTAATTTTTAGCCTCGTTTCCTAAGGACATGAAGCTGATGATGGCATTTCATTGTTGGTTGAAGCTGATGTAAAACTTCTCTGTGGTAGAAGGGTGTCTCTTCCTGCCAGCCACTCATTCCTTCCCACTTTGTGATGCCAGCTTTAGCACCTGTACAGCTGAAACAGGAGCTCACTGGTCTGGCTGAAAACCAGTCCTGATAAGTCTCATTCACTGCACAGCCACATGAGTTTTGAAGCTGTGGCAGCAGAAGGGCGGAAATTGTAAAGCAGGGATGAGACCATTTCTTTTGGAGGATGTACAGTTGCCAGCTTTAGCACCTGTACAGCTGAAACAGGAGCTCACTGGTCTGGCTGAAAACCAGTCCTGATAAGTCTCATTCACTGCACAGCCACATGAGTTTTGAAGCTGTGGCAGCAGAAGGGCGGAAATTGTAAAGCAGGGATGAGACCATTTCTTTTGGAGGATGTACAGATTGTGAAACCACACGCAACTGTCACCATCATGTTCCATCATGTTCTGTTTCC